GAATCTGTTGCCTATGAAGAAGAGTTGTCATAAGGATTATAAAGCATAATTCACTTAAAGGCACTAGGTACACAATGAAAGCCTATTAAAAGTGATCATATGTCAGAAGGAAAAGGCTGGCTTTGAGGGGACAGTTCAAGGAAAGGCCACACTACCAGTCTGGGCACCCAAATCATTCTCAAAATAAATGGGTCCTTTGAATTTAATGAACAAGTAGTCTTTCCAATTAGAAAGCTGGTCAGAAAAAGCCCATGAACTACAATTTAAGGACTCAGAAATTCCATTCCCAGATTCTACAATGCAATGCAATCAGTCTTAAAATTTCACAACTGATACATTCTAAAAGCCAGCTCTGGAGTAAACCTATAAACCACTCGCCATTTTACTAGAAATTTGTAACAAGTCAGTATCTCTTTACTTCAAGATATGTAATGTGGTTCTAGGAATTAGGATTCCTCCAAGATGATATCAACAATGAGTGAAAAAAAGCTACCCCCAAAAGCCCTGGCCCATGGACCCTACAGGAAAAAGACTTAGCACCCAATTCTGGTAATTTTGGCCCATAATTAAACATACACATGCATATTTGCTGGTTTACTGGTACATCTATTCCATAATTCTAGCACTTGGCAAGGCCAAAACTGACAAAACTTGTCCTATCAGAGGTTTTCTGTAGAGCATCCAGCAGCATAAACCTTAGACTCTGGTAACAATCTCAATGCACACAATGAAAGGTGCCCTCATATTCATAGTGGAGAGCCATTTATACAAATTAGATTAAGTTGCTTTAGCTTTGATTTAATAAATGTATAACTGGCAGTCCTCATTCCAGATACTCTCACATGATTAGTGTTTTACAATCCTAAGATTTTAACAAAACTTCTGATGATCTAAACAACAGACTCTTTTTAGCAGAGGTTATGGGGTCCTCTAGGGCACTTCAAAGGGGAACATAATGACCCTTGGCATATTCAGGGAAGGAAGTGATCTTAGTGGTCCAGGAAACTGAGGTAAGCACTTGTTTGAAGGCTTTAGCACAGGGTGCAAAGAAGAAAGAAACCTTCTTTGGAGTCTTTAGTATTCGACTGCAAAGGCTTCCAGAGTGGAAGGCAGAGCAGAGACACCAATCCATCACAGCCTGTCAGCTAGCTGGCTGACACCCTGAAGCATGGTTAACTCATGCAGGACTTCTGCCAACCTCCAAAAGGTAACTGAAAAATAAAGAGACAGGAAACTAATCTCTCCTTTAGCACATCTGACTGTGGATGTGACATTCAAGCACTTTTTCATTTGGAAATATATATTCCAATGCTATCTTGACTCTATTGTAGAGGCTGGCACAGCAGTTCTGAGCTTATATAAGAAGGTAAAAATAATAAGTACCAGGTTTATATGAAACTTGTAATTTTAAGTGACCTCTAAATAATTCCAGATATTAAATGTGAAAAGCAAATATAGTTTTTCACCTGAAGAAACCGCCATGGTTTGGAACCAACAAGTTTCATAACAACCTTTCAATCCATCAATTGAGAGGCTGTGGATGACTGTTATTACCAAGGATCTAGTTACAAGGGCCTTGAGGAGCCTTTCAAGTTTCAAAAGCTCCGTAATAGTTCTTTAACTTTAAGCACCAAAACTACACTCAAAGGTTTTTGTTTTCGTTCTGTGTTCTAAGTGGACTGACAATGATGACTGACAACTAGTTCTTGCTACTCTCTCTTTCTCCCCCAATGAATCCATCCTCCCATCCTGGGATTGAGAATTCCACACTGCTGATTAACGAAGCTGGATAATTGAGGAGGGAAAAACAGACTTTTAGGCCAGGCGGTGGTGACGCATACCTTTAATCCCAGCACTCAGGAAGCAGAGGCAGGCGGATCTGTGAGTTCAAGGCTGGGCTGGACCGACAGCCTCCAAAACAATACAGAGAAACCCTGTCTCGTAAAAACCAAAAAAAAAAAAAAAAAAAAAAAAAAAGACTTTTAAAGATATATACTTTTAATAGGTCAGAGAAAATACTGCTGGGTGGTGATTACTTCTTCACCCCGACACACCCACAGTCCATAGCTGAACCAACGTGGTGGCTTTGTTTCAATAAAACTTGATTTAAAGACTCTGACATTTGAATTTCATATGAGAAATTCTCATGTTACAAAATAGTATTGATAACCATTTAAAAACATGAGACTATTCTTATCTCACAGACTAGCCAAGTCAGTGAGACCAGTCTGGCCTGCTGGTCATGTCCCTTCTTCAGAAGTCCTTGCTTCTTGCCAACGTAAAGCATGATCCAGTTCTGAAGCTAGTACAGAGACAAGCCACTCAGTTTTCAAGCTAAGCCCAGTGGAGCCTTGCATCTTCAAGCTCTAACAACTAAACAGCAATTTTTAATGAGTAAACTTTACTCAGATCTCTCTTTTAGCCAAAGAAGCCTGCACCATAAATCACTCATAAAACACCACCAAGAAAACCTGTGCTAAGTATGGTTTAGCCCATAACTCTTCTTTCATGCAACTCCAAAAGAACCAGATGTGGCTGGTCATGGAACCCACACACCCAAATGAACACCAGAAAGCCTCTATAAAACTATTAATTTGAAGGGGAGAAACCATTGAAGTTACTTCACAAGCAACAAAGCTATGCAACAAACCAGGATTCTGGAATATAAAAGAAAGGAACCATGCACTCTGCTGGGATGCAGAAAGGCCAGGCCTCTCAGTCTGTTCACTCATGGTGACTTCTGGGCATACACACCTTCCTCCTCATTTCATCTTCACTCAGACATTTCCTTTTATAACACAAATGTATTCACCTCAAAAACAGCATCTGGCAAGGTTTAGTGGTGCACACTTACAATAATCCCGGTATCCATGAGGCCAAGGTAGGAGGATTGTGACTCTGAAGCCATCCTGAACTGTCACTTCATCCTGAACTGTCACTTCATCCAGAACTGGCAGACCTTGCCAGGTAGTGGTGGCACACAAAACAAAACAAAACAAAACAAAACAAAACAAAACAAAACAAAACAAAATCCTAAAGGCAAGCCAGACATGATGCTGAACACCTGTAATCCTAGCATTCTGGAAGCTAAGGCAGAAAGACTGCCTTGAGTTCAAAGCCAGCCTGGACCGCATAGTAATACTAAAAAAGCCAAAGCTCCAAGGTCCCGACTCAAAATTAAATACATAAATATACAAGGACTATGGCTGTGACTCAGTGGTACAGTGGTTGTCTAGCATGTACAGGTCCTGGGTTTGGTCCTTGGCACCACAGAAATAAATGAATGTATGCGATCAGAAAATGCTCTCTACTGGAAACATGGAGACAGTGTCCACTGCTATCACTCTTCCTGGGCTCTACAGAAACCAATTTTCAGTTTTTAAAATAAGTACAATATTTTAATTTTTTTTAGATTGTGTGTGTGTGTGTGTGTGTGTGTGTGTGTGTGTGTGTGTCCAATCCAATTGGATCCAGAGGTATTCAATATCCTGCTGGAGTTACAAGAGCTGTGTCTGACATGGGTGCTGGGAACTGAACGACACAACTACTGAGCCATCCCATAAGCACCTTTTTTATGAGCACTTAAATCAAGTCGCAGTAATCACAAGTGTTACCAACAACTGGGAGACTGAGCTGTAATTCTTCATCAAACGGAATTATCTTTTTTTTTCTATTCACTCCTTGTTAAAAACGGCATTTTCCAATTCCTTGTTCCACATGAACAAGAGGCATTCTGTTGCCTGTACAATTAACATTGTAATACTTCTATGACACTGAGTCAGCATAAAATAGTCCACGGCGATAAATATAGTTACACAATTTAAGATTGAATACTAAGTTTACATACACTCTTAACAATACCACTAAAGGTCAACTTAAAACACCACAATCACTAGGGGATTTTTTTAGTGTAAACCTAGGATTCCTTCCAAAACAGAAAAAGAGGTCTGAGTATCGACCAACAGTAGAATAGTTTCCGGGATCTGAGTTCCATACTAACATCATAAAAAAATGCATCCCAATAATTACTAAATAAAAACTTAATGCTACTTTTATACATGAAAAGATGAGGTCCAAAATGACACGAGGAATAATTCACTCTTTTATAAAAAGTAAGATGTACTAAACTCTGGCTTTTAAAAGCCCAAAGTTTGTCTAAATTCAAAGGCCTCTTTTCAGTGACTGCAAGGTTAACTGCAAACTACTTACGGTCAAATATGAAATACCACCCTCTTAATTCAACAGCTGGCCCACGCATCCTTCTTTAAGTGGTACAAACAGCTCATGAAACGACCATACAACCGGTAGAATCCCATGGCTCAAGACCCATTAACTACAACAAAAATTCACAGCTGCACAGTTCTGACTTTAAATACCTCTCCCTTTAAAGCTTGCATCCTCCACCTCATCCCAACCATTCTGATCAGCTAACTAAACCCAAGTTTAAAGGACACGTCTCTTAGGCAGAGGGGAAGAGGGTTCCTAGGCTGGGAGCCCAGACCTGTCAAACACATTTTTTAAGTGCTTCGGGGAAAATGTCAGCCGAATGGTTCACGAGGCCGGTTAATTTCTTTATAACCCTTTGTATGTGCAAAGATCCGGCTAGACAAAAAGAGGGACCGGCTTTCGGTTGTTCCTCGGGGGAGAGGAAGGTTGGCCCGGGAGATGGTGGGGACTGTTCTCTGCTCGGGCCCCGGTACCAGCTGGGTGGCCCACCCCGAAGTTGCTCGGAACCTGAGACCGGGCGCGGACGCTGCCGGGGGCCTGGGAACAATGCGGGGTTCCGGGGCGCCCACGCTGGGCCTGGGGAGCGGGGCAGGGGAAGGCGGTCCCCTGCCCGCGCCGCCGAACAAAAGACGCCATGGAGCCAGCGCCCGGGCCGGGAAAAGTTTGTGAGAGGCCGGGGTCGAAGCCCGCGCGCGCCGCCCCGCACAATGGCCCGGCCGAGCGCGGGAAGGCCGAGCGCCACGCCCCCGCTCCGCAGGGCTGCGGCCCAGTACCTGGTGCGTGTCCTTCCCGCCGCCCGCGGACGCCGCCGGCCCGCCGGGGCCGCTCGTCATGTTCACGTACAGGGAGCGGGAGAGCGGGCTCCGCAGCGTCCACATCCTCCGCGCCAGCCACACGGACGCCAGGCTCAGGCACAGCCAGCCCGCCAACAGTCTCATCGGGGGGCCGCGGCCGCCAGCTCGGATCACCGCCGGGCCCAGGCCCAGGAGGAGGAGGAGGAGCCGCCGCCTCCGGCCACCGCCGTCGCCGCCCGAGCTCGAGCCATCGCCGCCAAGTCGCCCGTGCAGCCCCCTTCGGGGCCGAGGCGGGGGGTGGGAGGAGCGGCGGTAGCGCGGCCTTCTCCAGTCCCCCGCGGCCCTTCCCGGTCCAGAACGCCAACGCCTCCAGCTCCAGTTTCCACCCGGAGCACGTACAAATGCAGGAGGGGCGTTCTCCCTGCCCAATGAGCGGAGGCGGGCGGGCCATGGAGGCGGGAGAAAGACTCCCTTTCCGCACGTTCACCGTGGCGGCCGCCTGGGCGCATAATGGCGGAATATCTGGGGAGACTTCCGAAAGGGGTTACTGGAGTCTCGCCACTCCGAGGTGGGGGCCTGCCGGACTTCCGGTCTTTCCTTGCCGTCGTTGTTGCCGGCGGGCCCCCTCGACCACACCCTGGCGGGAACTTGACCTAATCGTTCAGATTGAGTCCCAGGAAAACGGGAACTGAGACACTCTTAGAACCAGGTCCATCGGATAGACTAGCGCTGCCCTTCTTGTTACGGTCTTGACTGTTAATAATTTCCATCTGGGGCCAGAGAGCCTGACGCCCAGTTCCAAACGCCTCCGGCCCCAGATGGGAATTAACAGCTGTTAAAGCAGAGAGAATCCAGAGGGAAAGGATCCCACCGCTGCTCCCGGCCCCAGCACTCCCAAGCTGGGGAGCTGCTGTCGCACGTTTCCTTTCGTGAAGCCCTCGTGAGTGAAAGCTCTGTCTTTGTTGCAAGCTGATGCTGCTGGAGCACCCAACGAAACAATGGAAAATAACACCATGTTCAACATCGAAGGCCACAAGTTAGCCCCTGACTGTCAGATGTCCTTGGGCTAACAAAAGTTGTACCCAGCGCTCTTAAAGTGAGCTCAGGTCTCAGAGAGTTAGCCGGATGTTTCCTTGATCATTTATAGCAGGAAGAAACCTAACAATGTTTCCAAATTGAAAGGTCAGGAGGAGTTCCTGTGTCTCAACTTCCTGCTGCTGTCAACTGAGAGTGACATTATTTCCTAGGCCTGCTACTCACACCTTCCTAGGTTTGTTGGAGCATGATTTTCATTTGACAGTGGCAAAGATTCTGTACATTAATTTTAGCTTAAAACAAATTCGTCTTTTCATTAATTTCATGTTACACTGAAGACATTTCCATTTATGAAATAGTGATCCACTGATGAGAAATAAATCATTTCTTAAACATGTTAGGTGCTAAAGAATTTCTACTTGTCACCTTCCCTTAATAAGGATATTTCGTTACCTAATGTGCATAGACTACAACAACAAAAATTCAAGGATAGCCGGGTGGTGGTGGTGGTGGTGGCACACACCTTTAATCCCAGAACTCCGGGGCAGAGGCAGGCCTGGTCTACAAGTGCTAGTTCCAGGACAGCCTCCAAAACCACAGAAAAACCCTGTCTCGGGAAAAAAAAAAATCAAGGATAAATATGAGGGTATACTTTGTAATCTCTCATTCTAGTATATTCCCTGACATCTCCCTGATGAGTGTAAAACCAAAAGACTATGCTTTACTAAATTGAGCTCAACCTTCTAGTAGTCCTAGTTCAGCATACTTAAAAGGAACTATAGTAGTGAGTGCAATTAACTGTACTGCATCACCTCTTTGAATTCCAATAAAGCTCTTCTATACCAAAACAAAGTGTTCTTCTTTTCTAAGTAAAGGGGAGATGCAAGCAACAGGAGTGTATAAACAGGCATACTTCATTTCTGAAGACAAATGATACAGAAAACCATGCCGTAACAGATTAAGCTTGCCTAACCACAATTCTAAGACCTCAAAATGTGTCATATAAACAAGAAGCAAGGATACATCTGGTAAGATCTGAAGAATTTAGGGTCATCTAACAGCTAAGAGAAACCTAGCAAATTTTGCTTTAGCAGCTCACCTAGAAAAAAATGAATTGCCCTCACATTCAAACTATTCTATAGTCATAAACTGCTCATGTAGTTGTTATTTACATTTAGGAAGCACGGCGAGAAATCAAAGCACAGCATAATTTTAAAAGTTTGACAGCAAACCTTCTCATAGAAGGTGGCATCCCAGCTCCTGGTTGTTTTATCCATCCAAGAAGCCTTGCTGTTTCTCGCCTGGTTGTTTTATCCATCCAAGAAGCCTTGCTGTTTGTCTTCCCAGCCTCTTGAATTACAAATCAGGAGGAAGGAAAACTGCAAGAGTAAATATACTAAGCAGAAGTTCAGATTGCCTTCTGGGACGGCCCCTTACTAGGATGTCACTGCTGTACATTAAAACCTCAGATATCCATAATGAGAATAGGAAGAGGCAAGGTTAATACAAAAACAAAAAACAAAACATGAGCCAATATCCTTTCCAATGTGGCTTTGAAATGCAATTAGTGATATTCAAGAGTCACATACCTGCTGTCTCATGCTTGTTCACCTCTAGCCTGGGTTTCTATTCTATCACCAGAAATTGTGGCTGGATTACATTCCAACTATCCAGGCAAGGGGCTTGTTTCTTAAACAGTAGTCCCTTCCCCCCCCCCCACCTCTTCCCTCCCCTCCCCCTCCCTTTCCCCTCCTCTCTCTAGCCCTCCTCACCTTTTAATCCGTTCATGTTATATAGGCTAGGCTGGCCTTGAACTCACAATCATCCTACCTATGCCTCACAAACACAGGGATCACAAGCCGGAGCTGCCACGCCTAGCTTCACATTTGCTTTTCAATTTCAAAGTCCAACGTGAAGAAAACCCACAGGAAAAGAGAGAGAGACTTGGATTTACAGAAGACATAGAACCACTGTAGCCTCCATGTGGAGCTAATGATCTAAAATGACTCTTGTTTTGTCAGTTTTCTAGTTTTTTTGGTTGGTTGGTTTTTGTTTTTTTGTTTTTGTTTTTGTTTTTTTTTGTTTTTTGGTTTTTTGAGACAGGGTTTCTCTATAGTTTTTGGAGACTGTCCTGGAACTCTCTTTGAAGACCAGACTGATCTCGAACTCACAGAGATCTGCTTGCCTCTGCCTCCCGAGTGCTGGGATTAAAAGGCGTGCGCCACCACTGCCCAGCAAATGTTTTGTCAGATTTTTGTGTATGCAGATATATGTGTGTACATGCGGAAGCTGGAAGTTGACTTTAGGTGTCCCCTGCTATCATTCTCTATCTTTTTTTTTTTTTTTTTTGAGACAGGGTCTGTCATTGAAGCCAGCACACATGAATTAGATAGACCAGGCTGACTGACCAGCTCCAGTGATCTGCCTTATTCGCCCCCCCATCTGACACACACACAGTAGTAGGGTTATATACACACATTCACTACCATACCTTCAATGCTCGGAGTCTGAATTCAGGTCCTTATCTTGTGCAGAAGTCACTTTACCCACAAAGGCATCTCTCCCGTCATAGACAAATGTTCTTAAGCTTCTTAATAATATTTGGTACACCTTCAGGGAAAGGTATGTTTGGCCCAAATTTTGTTGTTGTTGCTGCTCTTGTTTTAAGACAAGGTTTATCTATGTAGCCCTGGCTGTCCTGGAACTCACTCTGTAGACCAGGCTGGCCTCAAACTCTGAAATCTACCTGCATCTGCCTCCCAAGTGCTGGAATTAAAGGCATGTGCTACCACCACCTGGCTTATGATTCAGATCTTAAATATCTCCCTAAAGTCCATGTGCTAAAATGTCCTTCACCAGCCTGTGGTGTGACTGGGAGACAGGCAATAGAACCTTTTAGAAATGGGTCCTGGAAGGAAGTTAGGCCAGTAGTATGTGCTTGTACGTGTGTGTGCGTGTGTGTGTGTGTGTGTGTGTGTGTGTGTGTGTGTGTGTGTGTGTGTGTGTGTGTGTGAACGAGAGTGCATGCATGGGCATGAGCACTTATTTCTATCCTCTTCTTCTCTTTCTCTCTTCCTCCCTCCCTCTTTTCTTACCTTTCTCTCTCTTTCTCTCCCCCTCTCCAACCTCCCTCCCTAGCAGTCATTAGGTTAGCAATTTTGCTCTCCACACTCCTCATCATGGTGCACTAACCACAAAACATCAAGCTAAGTGTCCAGGGATTAAAATAAACCTTTTCCTCTATTGACTTCCTTAATTCTCTTGTCACAAGAATGGGACAATGACTAACATGGAATTCAACCTTTTTTAATTATAAATAGTAAGTGTGACAGGTTATTATTTTTCTAGAAACTTTAGTCATTTTCAGTGGAATTATTCTTTTTTTTTTTTTTTTTTTTTTTTTTGGTTTTTCGAGACAGAGTTTCTCTGTATTGTTTTGGAGGCTGTCCTGGAACTCGCTCTGTAGACCAGGCTGGCCTCGAACTCACAGAGATACGCCTGCCTCTGCCTCCCGAGTGCTGGGATTAAAGGCGTGCGCCACCAATGCCCGGCCAGAAAATATTTTCTTAAAACACAGAATGATAATTTCTTTGAACTACCATGCCTGGAATGTTCTCACAGTTATGCTAGTGTTTTGAATGTTTGTTCTCTGTTTGATGATACTATTTGTGGTAGGGGTTGGTGAAGGCAAGATTTAAATGAGTCCACAAGACCCAAGATACATGATAAACAGGTATTTATTAGGTAAGCACTTACACGAATAATGGTAAATAACTGCTGTGGTCTTCCTGTTCCAGAAGATGCGTCTCTGCCCTTTTAATGCTTTCACCACAACCCAAAAGAGCAAGCCAGCTGCTCCTCTTCCTTATAAGGGGTCACGTCTGAACCTGAAACCACACCCATAGGATGTGGTCATGACCGCAAGTTCACTGGTATAGCAAGATGCCACTACAGGTTGGTTGGGTAATGATGACTATGAAACCTCTGAGATAGGACATGGCTAGCAGAAGTAGAATTACAGCCAGTCCTCTGAAGGTATAGACTAGCCCTAATTTATGTCTAACTCTTTGCTTCCTGGTCAGCCACAATGTGAACAACCAATCACCGCCTCAAGCTTATGCCACATGCCTTTTCTGGCATGATAGGCTGAAACCATGATTCAAAATAAACCTACCCTCCATTACACTATTGCTGTCATATGTTTTGTCATAAAAATGAGCAAAATATTGTAATGTCTAATCTCATGAAATTTTATCCTGAAGATGTGAGCAAGGGGTGAGGAATACAAAATTCAAAACCA